CCACCCCCCGAAGTGGAGTGCGGGTTGTTTGCCACCCCCCGAAGTGGTGTGCGAGTGGTTTGCCACCTCCCTAAGTTGCTTTGGAGTGGTTTGCCACCTCCCGTTTTGCGTGCGAGTGGTTTGCCACCTCCCAAGAGTGGCGTGCGAGTGGTTTGCCACCCCCTCGAGTGGCCTGCGAGTTGTTTTCCACCCCCTAGAAGTGGCGTGCGAGTGATTTGCCACCCCCCAGTATGACGTGGGAGTGGTTTGGCACCCCTCGAGAGTGGCGTGCGAATGGTTTGCCATCCCGTGGGAGTGAAGTGCGAGTAGTTTGCCACCTCCCAGAGTGGCGTGCGAGTGGTTTGCCACTCCCCCGAGTGGCGTGCGAGTGGTTTGCCACCCCGTAGGAGTCGTGTGCGAGTGATTTGCCACTCCTTGTGTGACGTGCGAGTGGTTTGCCACCCGTAAAGAGTGGCGTGCGAATGGTTTGCCACCCCGCGAGAGTGGAGTGCGAGTGGTTTGCCACCCCCCGAGTGTGGCGTGCGAGAGGTTTGCCACCCCCAAAGTGGCGTGCGGGTGGTTTGCCACCTCCCCAGAGTGGCGTGCAAGTGGTTTGCCACCCCCTAGAGTGGAGTGCGAGTGGTTTACCACCCCTCGAGTGTGGCGTGCGAGAGGTTTGCCTTCCCCAAAGAGTGGCGTTTGAGTGATTTGCCACCCCCAAGAATGGCGTCCGAGTGGTTTGGCACCCTCCACAGTGACGTGCGAGTGGTTTGCCACCCCCCAAGAGTGGCGTGCAGGTGGTTTGCCAGCCCCCAGGGTGGCGTGCGAGTGGTTTGCCACCCACCGAGAGTGGCGTATGAGTGGTTTGCCACCCACCCAGAGAGGGGGAATTCAGTAAGGTAGGGGTGATCAATGCTAGGAAGGGGTTATTAAACAAGGTATGGGAGACTAAGCAAGATAGGATTTCTTCAACAGGGTAAGGGGAATTCAGTAAGGTAGTGGGAATTCAGCAAGGTAGGCGTACACAAGCAAGGTAGGGATGTTTCTGCAAGGTAGGGGGGATTCAGCAACGTAGGGATGATTAAGATCATACGAATGATTTATCAAGGTAGGGGTGATCAAGAAATCTAGAGGGAATACAGCATTGGAACAAAATTACAGCAAAGTAGCGGTGACTAAACAAGGTAGTGGGAATTCAGCAAGATAGGGGTGATTAAGCAATGAAGGGGTGATGAAGCAAGGTAGGGGTGATTAAGCAAGGAAGGGGTGATTCAGCAAAGGGGTGGAAATTTTGCAAGGTAGGGGTGATTAAGCAAGGTAGGGTTGATTATGCAAGGAAGGGGTGATTCAGCAAGGTAGGGATGATTAGGCAAGGTAGGGATGATTCAGCAAGATATGGAGAATTTAGCAAGGACTTGGACATGCGAAAACGCTTGAGATACTGTACCATAACTTCCCACACACCTGGGTTTTGCATCCGAGCACAGGCCAGCATGCTCTTGAGCCCATACACTAACCATGCATGTAAAAAGCAAGATGTTTGAGCACGCTCGATAGCAAGATAACCAAGTTGAGGTCTCGTAGGAAAATGCTCAAGTACTGGAAAAAGGAACACATACAATACCATTACTTTTTGCACACTTAGGTTTTGGATCTGAGCACCAGCCACAATTATTTTGAGCCCATGCACTAACTGTTCATGCAAAACAAGGGCTTAGAAATTGCTTTGTATCTGAAAAACAAAATGAAAAGTTGAGGTTTTGTTGGGCAATGCTCAAGTGTTTAGTCATCGGACAATAGTTGACATACTATAACTTCCCAACCACTTGGATTTTGGATCTGAGCACAAGCCATGCTGCTCTTGAGGCCATACAATAGCTATGTATGCAAAAGGAAGGAGTTTTCGTGAACAAGATCCTAAATGAAAAAACAGGTTGTTGTTTGGTGGGGTACCACTCAAGAACTTGGACATGCAAAAACGCTTGAGATACCATAACTTCCCACACACCTGGGTTTTGCATCCGAGCACAGGCCAGCATGCTCTTGAGCGCATACACTAACCATGCATGTGAAGATCAAGATGTTTGAGCACGCTCAATAGCAAGATAACCAAGTTGAGGTCTCGTAGGAAAATGCTCAAGTAGTGGGAAAAGGAACACATACAATACCATTACTTTTTGCACACTTAGGTTTTGGATCTGAGCACAAGCCACGGTTATCTTGAGCCCATGCACTAACTGTTCATGCAAAACAAGGGCTTAGAAATTGCTTTGTATCTGAAAAACGAAATGAAAAGTTGAGGTTTTGTTGGGCAATGCTCAAGTGTTTAGTCATGGGACAATAGTTGACATACTATAACTTCCCAACCACTTGGATTTTGGATCTGAGCACAAGCCATGATGCTCTTGAGGCCATACACTAGCTATGTATGCAAAGGGAAGGAGTTTTCGTGAACAAGATCCTAAATGAAAAAACAGGTTGTTGTTTGGTGGGGTACCACTCGAGAACTTGGACATGCGAAAACGCTTGAGATACCATAACTTCCCACACACCTGGGTTTTGCATCCGAGCACAGGCCAGCATGCTCTTGAGCCCATACACTAACCATGCATGTAAAGATCAAGATGTTTGAGCACGCTCAATAGCAAGATAACCAAGTTGAGGTCTCGTAGGAAAATGCTCAAGTACTGGAAAAAGGAACACATACAATACCATTACTTTTTGCACACTTAGGTTTTGGATCTGAGCACCAGCCACGGTTATCTTGAGCCCATGCACTAACTGTTCATGCAAAACAAGGGCTTAGAAATTGCTTTGTATCTGAAAAACAAAATGAAAAGTTGAGGTTTTGTTGGGCAATGCTCAAGTGTTTAGTCATGGGACAATAGTTGACATACTATAACTTCCCAACCACTTGGATTTTGCATCTGAGCACAAGCCATGATGCTCTTGAGGCCATACACTAGCTATGTATGCAAAGGGAAGGAGTTTTCGTGAACAAGATCCTAAATGAAAAAACAGGTTGTTGTTTGGTGGGGTACCACTCAAGAACTTGGACATGCGAAAACGCTTGAGATACCATAACTTCCCACACACCTGGGTTTTGCATCCGAGCACAGGCCAGCATGCTCTTGAGCCCATACACTAACCATGCATGTAAAGATCAAGATGTTTGAGCACGCTCAATAGCAAGATAACCAAGTTGAGGTCTCGTAGGAAAATGCTCAAGTACTGGAAAAAGGAACACATACAATACCATTACTTTTTGCACACTTAGGTTTTGGATCTGAGCACAAGCCACGGTTATCTTGAGCCCATGCACTAACTGTTCATGCAAAACAAGGGCTTAGAAATTTCTTTGTATCTGAAAAACAAAATGAAAAGTTGAGGTTTTGTTGGGCAATGCTCAAGTGTTTAGTCATGGGACAATAGTTGACATACTATAACTTCCCAACCACTTGGATTTTGCATCTGAGCACAAGCCATGATGCTCTTGAGGCCATACACTAGCTATGTATGCAAAGGGAAGGAGTTTTCGTGAATAAGATCCTAAATGAAAAAACAGGTTGTTGTTTGGTGGGGTACCACTCAAGAACTTGGACATGCAAAAACGCTTGAGATACCATAACTTCCCACACACCTGGGTTTTGCATCCGAGCACAGGCCAGCATGCTCTTGAGCCCATACACGAACCATGCATGTAAAAAGCAAGATGTTTGAGCACGCTCAATAGCAAGATAACCAAGTTGAGGTCTCGTAGGAAAATGCTCGAGTACTGGAAAAAGGAACACATACAATACCATTACTTTTTGCACACTTAGGTTTTGGATCTGAGCACAAGCCACGGTTATCTTGAGCCCATGCACTAACTGTTCATGCAAAACAAGGGATTAGAAATTGCTTTGTATCTGAAAAACAAAATGAAAAGTTGAGGTTTTGTTGGGCAATGCTCAAGTGTTTAGTCATGGGACAATAGTTGACATACTATAACTTCCCAACCACTTGGATTTTGGATCTGAGCACAAGCCATGATGCTCTTGAGGCCATACACTAGCTATGTATGCAAAGGGAAAGAGTTTTAGTGAACAATATCCCAAATGAAAAAACAGGTTGTTGTTTGGTGGGGTACCACTCAAGAACTTGGACATGCGAAAACGCTTGAGATACCATAACTTCCCACACACCTGGGTTTTGCATCCGAGCACAGGCCAGCATGCTCTTGAGCCCATACACTAACCATGCATGTAAAAAGCAAGATGTTTGAGCACGCTCAATAGCAAGATAACCAAGTTGAGGTCTCGTAGGAAAATGCTCGAGTACTGGAAAAAGGAACACATACAATACCATTACTTTTTGCACACTTAGGTTTTGGATCTGAGCACAAGCCACGGTTATCTTGAGCCCATGCACTAACTGTTCATGCAAAACAAGGGCTTAGAAATTGCTTTGTATCTGAAAAACAAAATGAAAAGTTGAGGTTTTGTTGGGCAATGCTCAAGTGTTTAGTCATGGGACAATAGTTGACATACTATAACTTCCCAACCACTTGGATTTTGGATCTGAGCACAAGCCATGATGCTCTTGAGGCCATACAATAGCTATGTATGCAAAGGGAAGGAGTTTTACTGAACAAGATCCTAAATGAAAAAACAGGTTGTTGTTTGGTGGGGTACCACTCAAGAATTTGGACATGCGAAAACGCTTGAGATACCATAACTTCCCACACACCTGGGTTCTGCATCCGAGCACAGGCCAGCATGCTCTTGAGCCCATGCACTAACCAGGCATGCAAAAAGCAAGATGTTAGAGCACGCTCATTAGCAAAACAACCAAGTTGAGGTCTCGTAGGAGAATGCTCAAGTACTGGAAAAAGAAACACATACAGTGGCGGAATAAATTGTCCACATGTTCAGCTTTTTTTGGCATTTTAATGAGTGCAGCGGTGTATACATTAAGCCTTAATGTATGGTGTGCATTCACGCTTAGAAGTTCAGTTAGAGCACTCACTCGAGTTGACAAAGACCAAAGTAGTACCACACATGGTCCTTAAACACCTAAGCATAGCATAGGATAACATCCGGACAATTAGTACCGGAAACAGAGCTCATACTAGATTCTGTGAAAACTAGTACCTAGTCCAGCGTCCCTTTGCCCGAATCACTGCCTTGATCCTCCTCGGCAGGCTGTCGATCAGGTTTGCACACACCTCCGGCGGTATCTTGTCCCATTCCTCCTGCACCCTCTCCCACAGCTCCAGCATTCCACTTGGCGGCTTTTCGTACTTCCCCGGCTGCCTTTTCAAGTGTGCCCACAGGTGCTCAATCGGGTAAAGGTCCGGGGAGCACGACGGCCATTCCAGAACCTCGTACTCCTGCTCCCCAAGCCAGTCTTGGACCAGACGAGACCTGTGCTTGGGATCATTGTCGTGCTGGAAAATGACCTCTGAGGGGGAAAGCTCGAAAAAATCGATGGTCTGTTTGAGCTCATCTTGCAAGATGTTGCGATACAGCGGCCCATCCATCCTGCCATCTATCTTGCACATGAACCCCGCCCCCTCATACGTCATGCAACCCCACACCATCATAGAACCGCCCCCATTCTTAACTGTCTGCTGGACTTGGTGGCTCCGAAGGCTGGTGCCCTCGCGAATCCAGGCGTACGCACGTCCGTCGGAGCAGTAGCGGTTTATCTTCGTCTTGTCAGACCAAATCACCCGCTTCCAGTCCTCCAGCGTCCACTCGGCATGCGCCCGCGCGAAGTCTAGACGATCTCGGATGTTTTTCGATGAGAGCCTGGGTTTCTTGGGCTGATGCACGGCGGTCAGCCCCGCGGATCGTAATGGGTTCCTGACCGTCTTCGAGTCTACGGCGAGATCGTGCTTCTCCAACAACATCTTGGCCGCGTCTACAGAGCTTTTCGCCTCTCCGCTTGTAATCGCGCGTATTATTCCGCACTGGAGACGGGTAGTGATTAAGCGGGGGTGGCCGGCCGAAGGCATCGTAGGTCGCACCTCCTCGCGACTAGTCTCGGCAGCGAGTTTCAAACTGTAATCGTGCACGGTGCTCTTGCCTACGCCAAGAACTTTGCCTATTTTCCTAGTCGAATGCCCCGCACGCAACATGCTTATGATCCTCGCGCGCTTCCGCTCATTTAACGGCTTCATAGCGATGCGGTCGTAGGCTCGCTTCCGGACTAACTCCTAAGCCAGCAACTGGTGCGCGTGACGATGTACACACCGAGTGACGGGGGAAAATAGATCTACTCTTCCGCTCGGTAGGAAATGTCCACATCGATAGTCGAGGAGTAAATTTCAACCCCACTTTCCGGTTGTGTCACAATCGCGCCAAGCAAGAAACAGATGAAGCAGAACTCAAAAACATTGTAACAGAATGGCAAAAAACGGGTGTTACTATTTTCGAAACATGTGTGGCATAACAATACGTTACAAAGTGTTAAACATCCGGGCAATTTATTCCGCCACTGTACAATACCATTACTTTTTGCACACTTAGGTTTTGGATCTGAGCGCAAGCCACAATTATCTTGAGCCCATGCACTAACTGTTCATGCAAAACAAGGGCTTAGAAATTGCTTTGTATCTGAAAAGCAAAATGAAAAGTTGAGGTTTTGTTGGGCAACGCTCAAGTGTTTAGTCATGGGACAATAGTTGACATACTATAACTTCCCAACCAATTGGATTTTGGATCTGAGCACAAGCTATGATGCTCTTTAGGCCATACACTAGCTATGTATGCAAAGGGAAAGAGTTTTAGTGAACAAGATCCTAAATGAAAAAACATGTTGTTTGGTGGGGTACCTTTCAAGAACTCAGACATGCGAAAACGCTTGAGATACCATAACTTCCCACACACCTGGGTTATGCATCCGAGCACAGGCCAGCATGCTCTTGAGCCCATACACTAACCATGCATGCAAAAAGCAAGATGTTTGAGCACGCTCAAAAGCAAGGTGGTCGGGATTCAGCAAGGTAGGGATGATGAAAAATTGTAGGGATGATTAATCAAGATAAGGGTGATAAAGCAAGGTAGAGGGAATTCAGCAAAAGGGTGGGGATTCAGCAAGGTCGGGGTGAGTAAGCAAGGTAGGGGTGATTAAGCAAGGTAGGGGTGATTAGGCAAGGTAGGGGTGATGAAGAAAGGGAGGGATGATTCAGCAAGATATTGAGAATTCAGCAATGTTGGGGTGATTAAGGAAGGTTGTTGGGATTCAGCAACGTGGGGGGGAATTTAGCAAGGTAGGGGTGATTAATGAAAGGTCAAGGTTTTTTATCAAGGTATGGGAGACTAAGCAAGGTAGGAGTGCATATACAAGGTAGGGGGATTACAGAAAGGTAGTGGAAATTCAGCAAGGTAGGCGTAATTAAGCAAGGTAGGAATGATTCAGCAAGGTGGTGGGGATTCAGCAAGGTAGGGATGATTAATCAAGATAGGGGTCATCAAGCAAGCTAGAGGGAATTCAGCAAAAGGGTAGGAATTCAGCAAGGTAGGGGTGATGAAGCAAGGTAGAGATGATTTAGCAAGGTAGGGGTGATTTAGCTAGGTAGGGCTGATTAAGAAAGCGAGGGATGATTGAGCAAGATGGGGAGAATTCAGCAAGGTAGGGGTGATTAGGGGAGTTAGCGGGGATTCAGCATAATAGGGAGAATTCAGCAAGTTAGGGGAGATTCAGCATGGGAGTGGTTTGCCACCCACCAGCATGGCCTACGAGTGGTTTGCCAACAACCCAGGTGGCGTGCGAATGGTTTGCGACCCCCCGAGTTGGTGTGCGAATGGATGGCTACACCCCTAAGTGGTGTGTGAGTGGTTTGCCATCCCCTAGAGTGGCGTGCGAGTGATTTGCCACTCCCCCATAGTGGCTTGCGAGTGGTTTGCCAACCCCAAGAATGCAGTGTGAATGGTTTGCCACCCCCTGAGTGGTGTGCGAGTGGTTTGCCATCTCTCCAAGAGTGGCGTGCGAGTGGTTTGTCACCCACCAGAGTGCCATGCGAGTGGTTTGCCACCCCCAACAGTGGCGTGCGAGTGGTTTGCCACCCCGCGAAGGTGGGGTGCAAGTGGTTTGCCACCACCTACAGTGGTGTGCGATTGGTTTGCCACCTCCCGACAGGGGTGCTTATGGTTTGCCACCCCCGCAAGTAGCGTGCACGTGGTTTGATTCCCCCCCGCACGGCGTGCGATTGGTTTGCTACCCCCTAGAGTGGCGTGCGAGTGGTTTGCCAATCCTAGAGAGTAGCATGCAAGTCATTTGCCACCCACCGAGAGTGGCATGCGAGTGGTTTGCCACCCCTCAAGAGTGGCGTGCAAGTGTTTTGCCACCCCTCAAGGTGCCGTGCGAGAGGTTTGCCACCCCCCAAAACTTGCGTGCGAGTGGTTATCCGCCCCTGAGAGTAGCGTGCGAGTGGTTTGCCACCCACCAGAGTGGCGTGCGAGTGGTTTGCCACCCCCCCGACAGTGGCGTGCTAGTGGTTTGCTACCCCTTGAGAGTGGCATGCAAATGGTTTGCAACCTTCCCAAGTGGCGTGTAACAGGTTTGCCACACCCCAAGAGTGGCGTGCGAGTGGTTCGCCACCCGCAAGAGTGGCAAGCCAGTGGTTTGCCACCCCCTGAGAGTGGCGTTCGAATGGTCTTCCACCCTTGCATGTGGCATGCGTGTGGTTTGGCACTCCCCAGAATGGGGGGCGATTGGTTTGTCTCTTCCCGGGGTGCCGTGCGAGTGGATTGCCACCCCCGCATAGTGGCTTGCAAGTAGATTGCCACCGCCTAGAGTGGTGTGCGAGTGGTTTTCCACCCCTCGAAAGTGGCGTTCGAGTGGTTTGCCACTTCTTTAGAGAGGCATGCGAGTGGTTTGCCACCCCCTACAATGGCGTATGATTGCTTTGCCACCACCCCAGAGTGGCATGCAAGAGGTTTGCCACCCCCAAGAGTGGCGCGCGAGTGGTTTGCCACCCCTTCTGATGGTGTGCGAGTGGTTTGCCAACCCCCAAGAGTGGCATGCAAGTGGTTCGCCACCCCCCAGTGTGGCGTGCGCGTGCATTGCCACCCCTCAAAGTGGCATGCGAGAGGTTTGCCACCCCCCCACAGTGCCGAGGAGTGGTTTACCACCTCCCGAGACTTGCATGCGAGTGGTTTGCCGACCCCCCAGAGTGGCGTGCGAGTGGTTTGCCACCCACCGAGAGTGGCGTGCAAGTGGTTTGCCACCCCCCAAGAGTGGCGTGCGAGTGGTATGCCACCCCCGAGAGTGGCGTGCAAGTGGTTTTCAACCCCCCCCCAAGTGGCGTGCGATTGGTTTGCCACCCCCCAGAATGGCGTACGATTGGTTTGCCACCCCCTAGAGGGGCGTGGGAGTGGTTTGCCACCCCCCAAGAGTGGCGTGTGAGTGGTTTGCCACTCCCTGAGAGAGTGTTGTGCGAGTTATTTGCCACACCCGATAGTGCCTTGGAAGTGGTTTGCCACCCTCTAGAGAGGCATGCGAGTGGTTTGCCACCCCCTGATTGTGGCGTGCGGATGGTTTGCCACCCCCTAAGAGGCATGCGAGTGGTTTGCCACCCGACTAGGAAAGCGAGCGAGTGGTTTGCCACCCCCTAGAGTAGCATGCGTTTGGTTTTCCACCCCCCCAAAGTGGCGTGCGAGTGGTTTGCCACGCCCCCTTATGGCGTGCGAGTGGTTTGCCACCCACTGAGAGTGGCATGCGAATGGTTTGCCACCCCCTAAGTGGCTTGGGAGTTGTTTGCCACCCACCCGAGTGGAGTGCGAGTGGTTTGCCGCCCTCTGAGAGTGGCGTGCGAGTGGTTTGCCACCCCCCAGAGTGGCGTGCGATGGGTTTGCCACCTCCCAAAGCAGCGTGCGAGTGTTTTCCCACCCCTCGAGAGTGGCGTGCGAGTGGTTTGCCACCCTCCGGCAGTGGTGGTCGAGTGGTTTGCCACCCCACAATGTGGCGTGCGAGTGGTTTGCCACCCCTCGAGAGTGGAGTGCGAGTGGTTTGCCACCCCTCGAGAGTGGAGTGCGAATGGTTTGCCACCCCTCGAGTGGGTTGTGCAAGAGGTTTGCCACCCCCCGAGAATGGCGTGCGAATTGCTTGCCACCCCCCAGCATGGTGTGCGAGTGGCTTGCCACCCACTGAGACTGGCATGCGAATGGCTTGCCACCCCCGTGAGTGGCTTGGGAGTAGTTTGCCACCCCCCCGAGTGGCGTGCGAGTGGTTTGCCACCCCCTAGGAGTGGTTTGCGAGTAATTTGCCACCCCTCGAGAGTGGCGTGCGAATGGTTTGCCAACCCCCCGAGTGGTATGCGAGTGGTTTGCCACCCCCCAAGAGTGGCGTGCGAGTGGTTTGCCACCCCCCAGTTTGATGTGCGAGTGGTTTGCCACCTCTCGAGAGTGGAGTGCGAGTGTTTTGCCACCCCCCAGAGTGGCGTGCGAGTGGTTTGCCACCCCTCAGAGTGGAGGGTGAGAGGTTTTCCACCCCCAAAGAGTGGAGTGCGAGTGGTTTGCCACCCCTTGGGAGTGGCGTGCGAGTTGTTTGCCACCCTCGAGAGTGGCTTGCAAGTGGTTTACCACCCCTCAAGAGTGGTTTGCCACCCCCCAAGGTTGTTTGCGAGTGGTTTGGCACCCCACGATAGTGGCATGCGAGTGGTTTGCCACCGCCCTAAGTGGCATGCGAGTGGTTTGCCACCCCCCGAGAATGGCGTACGAGTGGTTTGCCACCCCCCTAAGTGGCGTGCGAGTGGTTTGCCACCCCCCACGAGTGGCGTGGGTGTGGTTTGCCACCCCTGGGGAGTGGCGAGTGAGTGATTTGCCACCCCCCATTGTGACATGCGAGTGGTTTGCCACCCCTCGAGAGTGGTGTGCGAATGGTTTGCCACCCTACGAGAGTGGAGTGCGAGTGGTTTGCCACCCCCCATAGTGGCGTTTGAGTGGTTTGTCACCCTCCAAGTGTGGCGTGCGTG